GTGGGCTGGGGAAAAACTACCAGGGATAGTGTTTCTGGTTTTTTTTTGTTTGTTTTTGTTTTTTGTTTTTTGCTAGGCAATGGGGTTAAGTGACTTGCCCAGGGTCACACAGCTAGTGAGCGTTATGTGTCCGAGGCAGAATTTGAACTCAGGAACTCCTGATTCCAAGGCCGGTGCTCTATCCACTGTGCCACCTAGCTGCCCTGAAGGGATAGTGTTTCTGAAGCTAGGGAGAAATATGGTCTTGGAACTGGGGTCCCAGTACAAGCACCCAAGCACCCCATCGGAGGGAGAGCATTCTAGGAATAGGGGACAGCCAGAGAGAATGCTGGGAACGAAGAGATGTTGTGTCTTATTCGTGAAAGATCCAGGAGGCCAGTGTCACCGTATCAAAGGGTAAGTGTTTAAAGAGTAAGCCATAAGAAGAATGGAAAGGCAGGAGGAGGCTAGGGCTTTGAATGTCGTACAGCATTTTGTATGTGCTCCTGGCGGTAATAGGAAGCCACTGTGATTTATTGGGTAGGGGAGTGACATGGTCCAGCCTATGGGAAAAAAAGGAAAAGATGGGAGAGGAGGAAGCATTTATTAGCTAACTTCTAAGTGCCAGGCACTGTGCTAAGTACTTTACAGATGTTATCTCATTTCATCCTCACAACCATGGGAGGTAGATGTTATATATCATCCCCATTTTACAGCTGAGGAAACTGAGGCAAATAAAAGTTAAGTGACTTGCTTAGGGTCACACAGCTAATAAGTGCCCCATGATGTAGGAGTATCAGTTTGGCAGCTGTGTGGAGAATAGATTGGTGCAGGGAGAGATTAGAGGCATCAAGGCTAATTAGGAAGCTGTTGTCCTAGGATGGCAGGTATGTGAGAGAAGAGGACAGAGCTGCAGTGGAAGTAGACTTGATGAGACTTGGCAACTGATTGGATATGGAGGCAAGAAAGAAGGGGAAGTTGCTTTCCAGGTTGGGAATCAGATATCCATTGTCCTCAGCCTTGAAGGGCCAGGCTTCATCTGAGGGAGTTTGTACTGTCTGTCCTCTTTCATGGACACGTCTTTTATCTTCACTAGTAGACTGCAAGTCCTTTGTCTTGCTTAAAAAAAAACCAAACGCTTTTTTATTAATATCTTTTAACATTGCCTAGATTTTCTCCTCTATCCCAACTCCTCCTCCTTCCCAGAGATCTATTCTTTCTACAAAATTTCTACAAAAAGTAAAAGCAAGAAATCAGCAAAATTCATGAATACCTAGAGAAAACATGATGTTGTCTGCCACGTTTCATATCAGCGTACTCTCAGGCCCTTCAAACCCTCCTCTCCCTCCAGCATAGGAGTGGGGGTAGGGAGGCATCTTCTCATAAATCTTTGAGGCCAAGCTTGTTCTTCATAATCTTCTTTATAATCCTGCAAGATTCTTTTGTGGCTATTTTTTTCCATTTACATTCATGTAGTCATTGTATGTTTTGTTTTCCTGGCTGTGCTTACTTCACTCTGCATGAGTTCATGTCTTTCCGTGCTTCTCTGAACCAATGTTCATTTCTTTCAGCACATCTTACTTCTTAATGCCTTATAATTGGAGTTTGGCCTCATCAGTGTTCTCCACAGTTACCAGTGATGGACAAATCCAAGGGCCTTTTCTCAGTCCTCACCCTTGACCTCTCTGCAGCCTTTGACTGGCCTAAGTTAGACCTGACCTGATGGTTCACATTCCAGATTGGAATGAAATAATAGACTTGTAATTCATTGATAGTTAAGAAAAGAAAGTTTAAAATGCGGCCTCAGACACTTGACACTTACTAGCTGTGTGACCCTAAGCAAGTCACCATTGCCTAGCACAAAAAAAAAAAAAGAAGAAAAAGAAAAGAAAGTTTACTTAGCCATAGTATGGAAAGGATAGTCAGCAAGGATACTGCTTTGATTCTGTTGTGGGTGCAGCTTCTCTAAGTCCACATTTGCCATGGTGGCACATGTCAACTGTACCAGAACTGGCCTCTAACCTGTGGGTGGTTAGAGCCGAAACAGAGCAGGCTAGATACGGGAGAGTCAGGATACAAATAGAAGTTTAATTAATTTCAGAGTGAAAAAAAGGATACCTGTCAGTGGAAGATTCTCCTCCCAAGGACTCTTAAGAGTGCTAAGGCTGGGGCCACTTACATACACAAAAGGGGTTGGGACCCAAGAATAAATGTATTGTCCCAAGAAATGCTAACCATGAGAACTATCTCAAGATCTAAGAATGATTATGTTGTGAGCCAACGTACAACAAAACAAAACAGCCCTGGGAAATAAGGGGAGCTCAATTCCTTATGAACACTTGTTGCTGGTCGAGGCAATGTATTTTACCAGAAGGTGAGATCATTCCAGGGCACAAAGGATTATTGTTATGCCAAACTCAGAGCACAGAGTACTTGCTGGGCCTTAGCTCTGGAAAACAGGGTATCTCCAAAATATTTTGACACACACACCAGATGTCATATTCGAGGGAGGCGCTCTCGATTCCTTGTGTGTTTAAGTCACCAGCCTTCTACCTCAGTGGTCTGAGCCTTAATCCCCTGAACCAATTAAATCTGTAAGATGGTTTCAACACTAAAAAAAAAAAAAATATTTTTTATCATATTTCCCAAGTACATGTAAAAAAATTTTTAACATTCCTTTTATAAAATTTTGAGTTCCAAATTCTCCCCCACCTTCAATTCCTTTTTAAGGAAAAACAAATTTAGCCTGCAATTCATAGATGTTGCCCCATTAAGACATTCTCTCTACCATCAACATGATTTTGTACAGGTTGCTCCCCATGTATAGAATGAATTTCCTCCTCACCTTTGTCTCTTAAAATGCTTAGCATCTTTCAAAACCTAGTTCCAGTCACCTCCTACATAAGGCATTTCCTGATACTCCCCGTTGAATTTACTTTGTCATATCTCATGGTGGAGTCTAAGTCCCTTGTACTATTTTGGGCTTTTTTTGTATCCCCAGGACCTCACAGGTTGCCTGCCACATAGCAGACTCTTAATAAATGCTTATTGAATGACTTTCAGTGTTTCTCTCCTCTTGTAGCCAGTGTGGCTATCGGTGGACTTTGATAACTGGAGAGACTGGGAAGGGGATGAAGAAGTGGAGCTAGCTCAGGTGGAACATTATGCAGAGGTGAGAGAAGATGCCAGAGTTTCATGTCTGTGCCTGCGTTTGTATCTCTCTTCCTGTCATTTTCTCTAAGTTCTGTCTAGCTTGCTGTCATGTGGGGTGTTGCTGACTCTTTTGATCAGTGACATCTAGATACTCTTTCTCCCGGTAACTTCCTCTGTCTCCTTTTCAGCTCTTAAAGAAAGCAAGTGCAAAGGGACCTCCCCCTGCCATGGATGACCTGGATGTAAGTGGAGCTGATAGAGCTTAATTCACGAGACTCTGTCAGTGAAATTGGTTCTGCTTTCTGGTTATGGCCCTTAGATGCTATGTTCCAGACAGCAAAGAAAAAACTGCTTGGATGGGTTTTCTCCTTCCTTCTGTGGGTATCCCCAGCAGGGCCTTCTTCCTTCCTGTCCCGTTTGGGCATATAAATACAAATGCCGTTTCTCTTCCCTGACCCAACATTAGCCTCTGTTCTTTTCTAGGATGAGTCCAGTGGTGAAGATATGACAGGTAATTTTTCTGTGAAAAAGATGGGTAGGGATCTGGAAACCATTTCCTATGAAATGCTGGAGTCTTTTCTCTTTTTTGCTGTATTATGGGCCTATGGTGAAACAATTTTGGGTCCTCAGTTTACCTCCACCTTTAACATTTACACTCCCAGCGAGTCCTTTCTCTTAGGCCCTCCACCAGGGATGTGACTTTGGCAACTGTTTCTGAACAGGATGGCAAAGAAGTAGGCTGCTGGGGGCCCTGGTGCCTTTCTATTATCAGCCTTTAAGTTCTATATTTTGTTTGTGTATATGGCAAGGAAAAAGACAAAGAGCAAAGCAGATTTCACTAAAACTTTTGTAATTTTTTTCTTTTATTAGGAACTTAAGCAACATTACAGAAGAAAATGAACATGCTATCTTCATCCTTCCATATTTCTTTCCTGCCTTTGTAAATCTATGTACATTTCTGAAGAGTTCTTTCGTGTATTATTTTTTAACTTAACATGATTTCGAATAAACCATTTACATGTTTCAATATACTATACATATTTCATAATTATATAGTGAATTGAACACTGGATTTAAAGCCAGGAGATCTTGAAGTCCTAGATCTGACATCAACTAGCAGTATGACCACAGGCAACTCACTCAACGTTTGTAAGCCTGGTCATCGGTAAAATGGGGTAACAATACAAATAGGCTGTGAAGAAAGTGCCCTATAAAGTGCTATCTAAATGCAAATTACTGGCATATTGGTATCCATAGGCTATTGAGCCATTTCCCTATTGCTGGTTATTGGGGCTGTTTCCAATTTTATAAACAGTGCTATGATGACTTTTGTAAAATAACTTTTAAAAGTTATTTCCTTTTGGGGTGTAATTCCCCAAAGGGGAATCATTTGATCACAAGATATGTGCTGCTTCATAGCTTTTGCTTTTAACAATCCAATTCTCCTTTATGCTTATAATTCCAGTTCTCAACCTGCAGTGACTTTCCCTCTCCCTGAGGGAGTTGAAGGAAGAGACACAGAGTTCTAAGGTCACGTCCCACAGAATGACTTTCCTTGTTGCCTTTGGGTACATAATGAAACAAACTCCACCCTGGGGAGCTGGGAACCAGAGTTCCATTTAACCAACTACTTCATGTAGTTGAATATTTCAGTTCCTCCAGTATTATCAGTAGGTAAACAAAGATTGCAGACTTAAAACAGTCCAATTGTCTAGACAGTCTAAGAACCAAGTCTTAAAAGTGTTCCTTTTCCACCATTCTGACCCCATCACCATGGAAGTTATGTCTGCTGTACATAGCAGAAGGTTATTTTATATTTTTATAATGATCCTCTTTTGCACTTAGCTGGCTGGTCCTCAGACAGCAGGAAAAGTTTTTTTCTGAGGATATACTTAAGGCCTTCCCAGATAGGAAGGACTTGCCAGAATGTATGTTTATTCATTGCCTTAAAAAACAAAGGGTCACCTCTATACCACCATGAAGCATCTCTTTCAAAACTGGGCTGCTGTGGTTTTTGCTTAGGTTTCTGATTAATTGCACTGCACTCAAAACATGATGTAGTTGCCTGTGAAAAGGAGCATTAGAATAAGTTCATTTGGATGATGATCATGACTTTGGTCATAGCCAGATGGTGATCTAGTTCTGAGAAGAAGGATGCTTGTTTTTTCAAATGAGAAAATGTGTGGGGTATGAAAGGAGGCAAAAGAAACTGGATACTTTTTTCCCAAAGGAAACAACACTTTCAGGAAGTATCAATAATATCAAGAATTCTGCTGGAAGCTGGGTTTCACCATGACACCACAGTTTATGAAGGACACTGATAAAGAGGATGTTGTCCAAAGAGCATGATGGTGAAGGGTCTTGGGTCCATGTCATATAAGGACAGTTGAATGGACTGGAAATGTTTAGCCTGGAGAAGAGAAAGAGAGGGAGGGGGAGACAATGGTACATGATGGCTGAGTTCAAATTCTGGAAGAGCTGTCATGTGAGAGACAGATTGGACTTTTCTGTTTCGCCCCAGAGGCCAGAACCAGAAACAATAGGTGGAAGTTACAGAGTGGGTAGTGGGGGAGGGGAATGTCCTCAATAAGAGACTGGATAAGCACTTTTCTGATATGTTATAGTGAGGATTCCTTTTTGGGTATAGGTTGGACTAGATAGCCACTAAGCACTCCTTCAAGTCAGGCCCCTAGGTGTTGTATATAAATCTGGAAGACCTGAGTTCAAATCCTGCCTCAGACACTTAACTAGGCCAGGCAAGTCACTTAACCTTTGTCAGTCTCAGTTTCCTTAAAAAGCTATGTAAATGCTAATCACTATTATTATTATTCCAACTCTGAAACACTGATTCTGTGAACTTGTTGCAATAAGGAATTTTTCCTATGTTTGGGAATTAATATTCTCAAGCCATCCCATGTTGGCTCAGACCCTTTCGTTGTCCTCACTTGGTAAGCTATATTGGAAGAGAGCTGGGTTCAATTTTAACTCATCCATTAAGTACCTATAACTTACTAGGATGAGCCAATCCTGATCTTCCCCAGTTTCCTCATCTAAGAAAGAAGAGTGTGCCAGAATATTTCTAAAGTCTCTTCCAGCTCTAAATACTAAAGTGCTATGAACTTGGGCTAAGAATAGCTCTTTGGAGAACACTGGCCCCAAGGGACACGAGGGCTAAAGAGTCACAGTCAAGTCCAGATACGCTTTCTTTCCTTCTTACTTTATATTTTCTAACAGCACTATTAAAGAAAATCCAACAATTATAATTCCAGTGAAAAATATTACTGCCACACCACTTTTCCTCAATCATCTTTTTTTTTTTTAAAGATTCATTATTTTAGTTTTCAACATTCACTTCCACAAGATTCTGAGTTCCAAATTTTCTCCCCATCTCGTCCCTCCCCCAACCCCAAGACAGCAGCATTAATAATAGCAGCAAGGTAGGTGGCACAGTGGACAGAGTCCTGGACGTGAAGTTAGCAAGAGCTGGGTTCAAATTCTGCCTCAGACACTTGCTACCTGTCTGACCTTGGGCAAATTATTTAACCTGTCTGCCTCAATATCCCCATCTGTAAAACAGGGATAATAATACTACCTACCTCCTAGGGTTGTTGTAAGAAAGTGCTTTGCAAACCTTAAAGTGCTATATAAATGCCAGCTATTATTTTTATACTACACGGTGTTCCAAAAGTCCTAATACAAATTTAGGCTTTTATAGCTGACTTGCCCAGGCCACCCTACACAGTGTGAGACTTCCAGCTTTATCAGCTTAAACCTGCTTTAAGGCTTTTGGGATACCAGAAACAGCCTAAGAAGCTCCTGCTTTATTTAGAAGCTTCAAGCTGCACTAGGACTTTTGGGGCACTCTCCACAACCCAAGCCTCCAGTACCCTGCACTCCAGCCCAATCTCACCTTTGGCAGACACCAGGCCCGGCTTCTGGGCTTTTTACAAGCTGTTATAGTCGTCATCGTCTTCGTGCTTCCTTTTCAATGAATTCGAGGACTCGGCGGGGGTGCTCTGCGACGACGACGACGAGGACGAGGACGAGGACGACGACGACGATGACACCATGTTGGTGGTGATGAGGATGTTCTTGGAGCCGATGAGGGAGGGGTTGATCAGGACGTTCTGCACGGCGGGCGCCGCGGGCATCGCGGCCTTGACGGCGGGGCTCTGCGAGGCCGGGATCTGCACCGTGAACCTCTGGCCGGCCAGCGACAGCGGGGTCGCGACGTCGGCGGCCACGGCCACTGCGGGCGCGGACGAGGGCGCGCCCAGGGTCGGAGTGCCGGGCCTGCTGCTGACGGCGCCCACGCTGAGCCGCGGCACCGTGATTCGGCCCGCCTGGGCGGCCACCTTTTTGGGCAGGGACTTTAGCCGGTAGTTGGGCGCCGTTAAGCAGTAGCGGTCCGGCGGCAGCCGGGGGCCCGAGTAGGGCTTGATCAGCGGCAGCGGGGTCTGGTTCTTCTGCCGGGCGATATCTAACAGAAAGTCCCTCGGCGGCGGCGCCGTGAACGACTGGTCGGCCCTGCACTGGATGGCCAGCCGCACGTCGTCCGCATCCACCGCAGGCTTCTTGGCGTGGCTCGAGTAAATCTTGGCGTCGTCCAAAATCGTGGTGACGTAGCGAAAGGCGAACTCCAGCATCTGGTTGATGACCCTTGGTTCGTACTCTGTGATCCCCATGTCCTTCAGAATTTGGGCCATCACTTGGGCATCTTTCGGAGAGCTCTTGGGGGACGCCATCTTGCCCGGCTCCATGATTTCCGGTGCCCACACTTCACTTCCGGTTTCTGAGAGCTTCGCCAAAGGTTACTAAACGACCGGGAGGGAGGAGTCCCCGATTTCCGTTTTCACTAATTCTGACCCACGCCGCCAACCGTCCGTACTCCCTTTCGTGACGCTCTACCGCCGCAGAGGAAAGAAACTCAAGTCCTACGTAGGGCTTGAGCTCCGCCCTTGCCAGGTCCTTCTGTTTAGCGTTCTCCGCGGCCAGGGAGCCAGCAACCATGTCGTTCCGGTGCCAGCAGGACAGCTACGCTCGAGAGGTGAAACCTGAGGCGGGGGGTTCGAGATTGAAGGGGTTGGGGAGGGGTGAAGCGCCGGCCTTACGATCCTCCCTTGCTCCGCAGTTCTGCACCACCGTGCTCTCTTGCCGCCCCGCAGAGCTGCAGACAGTTGGGAAAGGAGATAGCAAGAATCAGGAGAAGCTAAGCGGCTACCACGTGGTGTTGGAGGATACGCTGCTCTTCCCTGAGGGCGGGGGTCAGGTGTGAAGCCCGCCTCCAGCCTTCCCAGCCCTCCCCCGCCGCCCTCCCAGAAGCCCCACCCCTACGCCGAGGCCCCGCCTCCTCTCAAGCCATGCCCCCGGGTACCCTCATCCTTCCAGAAGCCCCTTCCTTCACGTAGACCACGCCCTTGTCTCGGCCCCACCCTCAGAGGGTTCATACTGGGTGGGATGTTAGGGAGCGCTTCTGTTTACCGAGAGGACAGTGACTTGCCTAAGGCTGCACATCTGAGAGGTGGCAGAGGCAAGACTTAGACTCCAAGTCTTCAGGTTTTAAACGCTTGGCCCCTTTATGTTCTGTCTCATCTCCAAGGCCTAATTGCTTGTATTGGGAAATACTCAAGACTGACAAACCCTGTCCTTCCCGTGCCTTGGGTCACTTCTCCGGATCTAACGTTTCCTGAACCTTCCCGGTAAAAAGAAGGGGTTAGACTAGATCAGTGGTCCTTAACCTTTTTTGTGTCTTGGACCCTTTTGGCAGTCTGATGAAGCCCTTCCCAGAGTAATGTTTTTAAATCCATAATATGAAATATATAGTATTACCAATTATGTTGAAACATTAGTTATCAGAACATATTTTTTAAAAGTTTACGGGGCCCCAGTTTTAAGAGCCCCTGGCCTAGATGCCTCTAAGGCTTCTTTCAGCTCTGAATCTTTGATCCCATGATCCTTCAGTTCAGCCCCATAGGTTTAAGAATGAACGTGGTGTGGTAGATGGAGTTAGGTGTGAAACATTTTTGCAAACCTGAAAGTGCTATAGACATATTCTTATTAGCTAAAGAGCCAGCCCTGAATCCAGGTTGCCCTTCACCCTGGCTTAACGTGTCTGGGCTGTAGATTACTTAACATAATTTGCACAGAAGGGGCTGATTTACAATGGTAAAGGGAATCCCTTATACCATTAGACCAGTGAAATCACAGGGCCAGTTCCTATCCTTGTCCTTCTTAAGAAAGTAAGCTGGCAGAACAGGAAGATAGAGGGACAAATCCCCTCCCACTCCCCAGCTATCAGAAGAAGCAGCTTAAAACAGAATTGCCTGAGCCCATTCAACCCATTACTACCTCTGTAGTTGACCTCTGACCCTTGGAAACCTCAGATTATAACATTATTTTACTCCTCCCCCCCAAAAAAAATCCATACCAGGTTTCAAAGGATTATAGATTTAGAGTTGGGAGGGATGATCAGGGGTCATCTCATTTGACCTGTTCATTTTACATAGGAGGAAACAGACCCAGAAAGATTAAGTGACCTTATCCAAAGTCATATGAGTATGTGGCAGAGACAGCATTCAAACTCGGGTCCACTGACGGCAGGCCTAGTAGTGTTCATTCCTGCACTTCTCCTTTTCTCCTTCTAGCTTAGACAAATCCTACCTCCTATTTTACAGGTCACTGCATACTTTTCAGTTCCTTTTTGAGTGTGAGTTACTGCTTCATCCTTCCCTTCCTAAATCCATAGTAGGAACATTTTTTCCCCAGCCTGATGACCGAGGTTCCATTGATAACATCCCCGTGCTCAGAGTGACCCGCCGGGGAGCTGAAGCTGAGCATTTCTTGCTTACTCCCCTGGCACCAGGAAGCCAGGTCCAAGTGCAGCTGGACTGGGATCGGAGGTTTGACCACATGCAGCAGCATTCAGGTATCAAGGGAATGGAAGTGGAGAAAAGTTTAGCCCCATTCCTGGAAATTCGGTCCAGATGATTGTAACGCCGTGGCTACCCATGCAGCTAAGCACTTGTGTAGAGAGAGCTGTGCTTGAATCTAAAAGCCCTTGTATGTTAGACCCTTCTCATAGTCTCCTTTCTCCTTATCTCTGTCTCTTGGTACCCAGGACAGCATCTCATCACAGCTGTGGCTGACCACCTGTTTGGGTTGAAGACGACATCGTGGTGAGTGAAAGGCATTGGACTAATGACTAAAAATGTAAATGTTTTATTAAAACTTTAACTCTGAACATCAATACAGCCAACTACACTGGCTTAGCAGATGTGTACATTTAAATTAATTTCAACACCTAAGATGTCTTACTGTTTTTCAGTCATTCCCTATTACAAAGAGATCCTCGTCAGAATTCTTTTGCCCTTTGTTCCCATTCATTTTTGTCCTTATATAGTCATTTTTACAGAGATCATGAAGCAGCATGATATACTGGTTGGAGAAATGGCTTCAAATTGAGGAAAACCAGGGTTCAGGCTTTGCCTTTGATACATACTGGCTGTATGAACCTGGCTGGACAATTCACTGAACCACTCAAAGCTATTGGCAGTTCTTAAAGGACTCAGTTGCAAAAAAGGTGCCAATCTGTGTTGATAGAAGGAATTTCCTCATTTGTGAATTCTCTATACCATTTGTCTAGTCCCTGTCCCTAATTAGAGAGATTTCGTGGGATAGTAGCTAGAGGTCATTCTTAGAGTCAAGAAGACTTGGATTCATGTCTTGCCTCGGACATATACTATCTCTATGACCCTGGGAAAGTCACTTAACTTCCTATTGCTCCAGTCAGGTATCTAAGACCTTCAGTTTCAGGACAGCTTCCAGTCTGCATTGGTGGAGGGAGTTTTCTCACTCAGAGTTCCATTACACTGCTGAAATTACAGGTCAAAAAAAAAAATTGTACTTTTAGTGTGTATTCTATTTTCTTGTTCTGATTTTTTTTTCATTTTGCAGTTTTATAGTAGACTATTTGATACAGCCTTTTCCAGCTTTTTCCTAACAAAGACCTAGGTTAGAGGCGAGAGAAAGGGGAATTTCCTGGAATGAAATACTGCCTAGCATTGTTCAGTCCACTTTTGTAAGCCCTGAAGACAGGTTAACGTTTCTGTGCCAAAGGATAGACAGGGGAAGAAAGCCCTTCTAATCCAGGCGTTTGAGGCTGATGGACCCATTGTCTTTCAGGGCATGTGTGATTTTTTTTTTTTTTTCAGTATTGCATTAGTTGCATTTCAGTATAATTGCGTTCCTTTGCAAGCTTATGTATTTAAAAACATTAATCTGTATGAGAAGCCGTAGGCTTCACCAGACTGCCAAAGTGAGTCTGGTGACCCAACAGAGATTAAGAACCCTGCGAGCTCTATTCCTACAAGCTGCCAATCTTATATTTCATTCTCATCCCACGAACCCCCCTTTCTCCGGTTAGGGAGTTAGGACGCTTTCGGAGCACGATAGAGCTGGATAGCCCCATGGTCTTGCCAGAACAGGTAGTTGCTATCGAGCAGAGCGTCAACGAGAAGATCAGAGATCGGCTGCCTGTGACTGTGACGGAACTGAGCCCGGATGATCCTGAGGTGAAGGTAAAGAGCTAGCCAGTGACAACTCCAGGCTATCTAAAGAGTTCTTTTCAAGGACCTTTTAGAAGCTCAGACATACCTACTCATCCCAGGTAAAGGCCTTGCGTTTGCCAGATGACCATGTGGGACCTATCCGTGTCATCACCATTGAAGGTGTCGACTCCAATATGTGCTGTGGTACCCACGTGAGAAACCTCAGTGATCTGCAGGTGAGTGGAGTGGGGGAAGGAGGGAAGGGCTGAGGTTCCAGAAAAGGCCTATCAGTGGAGTAGAAGAGCAAGATAAGCCTAAGATGGGGGTGGGGGAGTAGAAGCTCAAAAATGTTGAAATCCTTTGGACAGAGGAGCTAGTGTCTGTCCCACCACTTCTACTGGAGACGCCTTCTCTGTAGGGAAGGTGCATTGAGTTCCTATATGAGGGATTCTTTGTAGGACCCCTAAAAGACTCCACCATTCACTTATTCCGGAGAGACAATGTGAGTCTAGCTTGCTCTCAGAAGCCATTTCACTGCATGTGTCTTCCAAACCCCATCCAGGTCATTAAGATCCTAGGTACAGAGAAGGGGAAAAAGAACAAGACCAACCTAGTCTTTCTAGCAGGGAACCGGGTGCTGAAGTGGATGGAGAGAAGTCACGGAGCAGAAAAGGCCCTGACCGCATTACTCAAGTAGGGTGCCTGTCTTTTTGTTCTTGTGGATTTATTGAGTGATATTAGGGAAGTGCCTTGGTTTCCCCATCAGCAATATGAGGAATATACCCCTTTACTTTCTCTCCCGGTACATGGATCAGATGAGCTCCTAAGCATGAGAGTGCCCTTGGAGGTGGTGTTCTTCATGTACACCCAGCAGAACAGCCTGGTGGAAGGAGGGCTGGTCTGAGAGTCAGGAAGACCTGGGTTCCAGTCATGCCTCAGTCACTTAAAAGCTGGGCAAATGACGTAACCTCTCTGAACCTGAGTTGCCAATAATAATAGCACCTACTTCAGAGAGTTGTTATGAGGATCAAATGAGACAGTGAATGTGAAGTTCTTTGCAGATCTTGATGCACTATACGAAAGTGCCAGCTGTTGTACATGGCCAGTCCTTGCCCCCAGTTGTCTTGTGAATAAGTGACCTTCCACCCTCAAGCTGCTATCTCTCTCTGCTAACCCCAACAATAATCTGTAGTTCTCAGGCTTTGGGAGGAGCCACTGTTTGAGGCCAGACGTCACTGTTTCCCAGCAACTCATCCTCAAGGATTTGGGATGGGGAATTGGGGGATGGGTCTCCAGATTTCTGTGTCTCTCAAGGTGCGGAGTAGAAGAACACGCAGAGGCTGTTCAGAAACTGCAGAATTCGGCCAAGCTGCTCCAGAAGGTGACTTACGCTAGAGCCACAAGGAGGGAAGGCTGGAGTGGAAATAGATTCTGTCTTAGAGTAGATTTCCCTCGGGACTGGGTTGTGAGAGTATAAGTAATATCCAGGCCTGGCCCTGATTTCTGCAGCTGTTTTGCAAAGTTAACTCCCTAGATATATGGATTGGTGGCAAGGGGTAAGGGAAGATGGGGGGACCTACTGTATGTCACCTCCTTTGTGTCACCTTTACTCCCTGCCACCTACATTGCTAAGTTATAACATCATTTTCAGAATAATGTCAATCTACTCAGAGACCTGGCTATTCTCACGGCTCACAGTCTTAGAGACAGCCCAGACAGGGGAGGAGTGATTGTATTACACAGGTGAGGAGTCAGAAATTGGCAACAGGGGTGAGGAGGAGGGCTGGAGTGGGGTGCTTCACATTTCTGCTGTGTGCCTAAAGACATTGGAAAGACAAGTCTGCTAATTTGAGTTCTTTATGATATTGTAAAACCTAAGGAAAAGGGGAGGGTGTCAAATGCCTGATATCTGGGTTTGGACAGGGTGATAAATATGTCCCTGGAATTTTCTTCTTTCCTCTCTTCATGGTCCCATCACTTCTACTGCCATCCAGAAAAGCTCCAGTTGTCCTAGGAAGCCCCACTTAAGGAGAATAAACCTAACCCAAACCTTTAAGTGCTGAGGCTGTGGAGGAACCATATGTTCTCTCTCCTCGGGGAGACTTTTCCTTCTTAGGGGAGTTGGAGGTTTTGTGTGCCATGGACAGCTACTCTTGGGGAACGGATACCTCTGAACAGATATCACTCAGTTTACTCTTACTGGTCTCTGACCCTAATCTGGCTCTGATGCCTTACATAAGCAAGCTTTGGGTATGAGGTGTGGTAGAAGTAACGTTGGATCTGAAGTCTGGGGACCTGGATTCAAATCCTATCTTTTCAACTTACCATTTGTGCAACTTTGGGAAAGTCTTTTAGCCTCTCTAGGCCTCAGTGTCCTTATCTGTAAAATGTTCTAGATGTCTCAGTGGTTCTATCCAACTCTAAATCTAAATGGTCCTTTATTATAGGAAAGATGGTGACTCTGAGTTTATGAATATCATTGCCAATGAGATTGGGATAGAGGTGAGAGTGTTTGAGGTACCCTCCTTTATCCCTCCATCCTCAGGGGCCTTTCCTCATATTTGACTCTCTAGTCTAAACACGACCTGTTAACTTCTTCCAAGGTCAGATTGTGACATATGTATTTCTGGGCCTCTGGCATTTGCTATTTCTGGGTATGCCTATCCTTTCAGAGAAGGAGCCTACAGGGGGTCATCCTTATTGTTTGTCTGTGGGACCTATTTTTTGAGTAATAGCCAGGCCTTTCATCCTTCCCACCTCTGTTTTGGACAACCCCTCTGGAATGATGTTAGCATCACTCTTAGTCATTTTTTAAGTGTAACAATCTCCAAGCTCATGTTGTAGCTCCCCAAATCTTCCAACTGCTTTCAGACTATCTCTTCTTGCATTATGCATTATGGCCAGACAAAGAAGATCTTTTTTTCTTTTTTTTTTCTTTTCTTTTTTTTTTTTGCTGAGGGAGTTTGATTCTGAAACTTTAGGATATGTCCACCCTTGGTGGGGGCAATAGTTTTGGGAATGGGTAGGTTTTATATTGCTGAGTATTAAGACTCATTACTCCATCTTGTCTCCTAGGACACCCTTCTCTTCTTAACTGTGGGAGACGAGAAAGGTGCAGGGCTCTTCTTACTTGCGGGGCCAGTTGAGGCAGTGGATATGTTGGGCCCCAGGTAAGTCTACAAGAAATCCTTCAATTCAGGTCAACAAACATTTATTGAGTATGTATGAGTGCCAGGCACTGGGGATAGATATAGAGACAGAAACAAAACAATCTCTGACCTCAGGAAGCTTACATTTTACTGAAGGGAAGCAACATGTATATAGATGAGTAAATATCAAATATGCGTGAAGTTATTTTAGGTGGTGAGGAGAGGACACTAACATAGGGGGCTGTGAATCATTTTAGTAGAAAGAAGCAGCAGATTTTAGAGGTGTGGAAGTAGAATGGACATTATATGACAACTAATTGAGTAGAGGGAGTGAGGGAGAGGGAGGAGTGAAGGATGACTCCCAAATTTGTGAACCTGGGTGACTGACTGAAAGAATGGTGATGCCCTTGACAGAAAGAGGGAAATTGGGGTGGGGGGATAGACCTGGAAGGAGAGGTAGTAGGTTCCATTTTGGATATGTTGAATTTAAGTTGCTTATGAGGTAGTGAGATGAAGGTGTTTTTCAGGCAGAGTTTGAGGTGAGGTTTAGGAAATAGGCAAGGCCTGGATACTGAGATTTTTAAGTCATTTATACAGAGATGCTAATTGGGAGCTGAAGAGATAACCAGGAGAGAGGTTACACTCAAAAGAGTAGTGGCCCCAGGACAGAGCCCTGAGGTACACTCATGCAACAGGGGCAGGACATAGAAGGTGACCCAACAGGTGAGAAGAAATGGTCAGGCAGGTAGGAGAATCTGGAGAAAATGGTGTCATGAAAACAGAGGAAGAAGAGAGTATTTAAGAAGATAGAGCAGTCAATAGGTCAGATGCTAAAGAGACATCAAGAAGAAAGACAACTTGGAGAAAGGTCACTAGATTTAGCCATTAGGAGATCAAAATTGGATTGATTGCAAGGAGTTGAGACATGAAGGAATGAATGAAAAAGAGCTTAATTACTTCACTTACCATCAGCCAACACTGTGCTAAGTGCTGAGAATACCAATGGAAAGGGAAGGTAGCACTCCTCTTGAGGAATTTCGTCTAATTAAGCGAGACAACACATCTAGGATGGGTCAGTTCAGGGCAGATGGAAAGGCACAGCTGTGCTTCGGGTGAAGCAGCAGAACATGTGGCAAGGCTCAGGCGTTCTTAGGGGGCAGTTGTAGGTCAAATGGCAATTCTCTGGGAGGTCTGGAAAGCACAGAGGCAAGGCATGTGATAAGGCCCAGTGATCTACCGTCTTGTGTGAAGGATCTTAGTTGGTGACACCCTGCTTATCCTAGTAGTGTAACTAGCTGTATCCCTGACCTCTGACTGTTGGGAAATGGGCAGTGGGCTTGAGGGTCAGAGTAGAATGGAGGTTTTGGGTAAACTCCTGGGTGGAGAGAGGATGGGGGAATAGCATCCAGCTGGGAGGGAGCATCTGGCACCTGTTGGGAACTAGGTAGTAGAGGCTCAGGAAGAGGAGGGGAAGAAGCCTTCACAGCCTGGTCTTGGCTAGGCCACCAGGCCCCACCTTGGGGTCTTATATCTGAAGAAGTAGAAGCAGTGAGTATAGACAGGTGTTTAGTATGAAAGAGAGATATAAAAGGGACAGTTTTGAATACAATTATAAGATCCCTCTTAAGTGATAAGGAACTCAAATGGTCAAGAATTTTGCTCTTCCAGTGTTCTTCTTAAAGGGGCTTGGTTGTCTCTGATGTTATCCATTGGTTTTCAGGGTAGCTGAATTGCTACAAGGCAAAGGAGCTGGGAAGAAGGGCCGCTTTCAGGGCAAGGCCACCAAACTCAGCCGGCGGGCAGAGGTGCAGGCCCTTCTCCAGGACTATCTTATCAGTCAGAGTGCTGAGGAATAGCAACTCTTGCCCTTGTGTCTTTTCCTTAGAACCAGACAGCATGTGGCCATGAAAAAATTTTGTTTTCTTCTAGACAATAAAATGATTTTGTTGGAATATGGAATCCTGTGCTTGACTGTCTACAAGCCTATGTAGTTGTTCTTTGTGTGTATACACAGTTATGTACTCTATCAAAGAGGTGATGGCCTTGGTGTGAATGAAATATGCCACTCAACCAGGGCATCCTTTCTTTAAGCTGTGAAATTTAGTTGCATAAAAGCTATAGATCTGCCTGGATTGAGAGTGCCTACAATCTGTTCCCATAAGTATTCTTGCTTGCTTGCTTGCTTGCTTGCTTGCTTGCTGTAGGACAATAAGCCATGTAAATGTGACCTCAAAGGCAAGCAAAAGCATGTGGAGAACACATGTAGCATTGCTCAACTAACTTATTTGTGGATTATGCACAGATTCAAAAAATTTCAGTGGTCAGACAATCCAACTTCTCCAAATTGGAACCTTCACTGATAGGAGGAAGCTCACATAAGGCAACCCATTCCATTTTTAGACAGTTCTAATTGTTAGAAAGTTTTTCTTTACATGGAACCTAAATCTGCTTCTGTAGTTTCTACTCATCGTTTTCAGTTATGCCCTCTGAAGTTGGAATTGTGACTTTCTCTAACTTCTAGCTATTGGCAGTAGGGCTAAGTCTGAATTTCTTTCAGGGACATGCATGGAGAAACGCGGGAGAGAGATCAAAGACGGGAGAGCTGGAGGCTTTCATATCTGTACATGTGTTCGTTCTGTTTGTCTCTGTTACAAAGTAAAAAAAAAATGCAGGACTCGGATTATTCAATATTCCCTATGATCTATACTTCTGTTTCCCTCATTAATTGATATCAAGAGTGGATAGCAAATGAAGGTAGTAGACGCCTTTCCTCTATACCTCACAAGCGGCTGAGCTTATGGTTCCAGGAGCTATCCTATCTTTATGTGTTAGATTTACATTTAGCTCTAGACCTTTTGAAAGAAAATGTGAGGACACGAAAGAAGAGAACTTTTGTTTATATGTTTTTCTGTGAAGGCTGACACCTTATTTATGCCAGAGGGGTAGCATCCAGGCACAAACCATGTTCAGTCACATCCCAGGATGATCCCCACATAGGAGAAAATACCTCTCCCCTCCAGTGCTCTGAAAAAGAGCAGCTGAAGCAAATTGGAAACACACCCAGTCCTATTCCAGGTTATCCTTTGGGAGAATATGTTCTAGGGTAATGTCAGTTAAAATGATTCATTTTTACAACAGATTATAAAGCGAAATGGCCTTAACACATAATGGGGAATAAAACTGATGCCCAGGGGAGTTAAGATAGCTACAGTCAGCACATGTTTCTCCCAGCCCTGAAAGGCACATCATTAAAGTAGTTTCTGATTGCAAACATGATTTAATAAAAAGGAGAATGGAACTATAGGTTGTGCCTCTTGAGTTCACACATCTTCAATATCCAGTCATTTTTTTCTCACATATCAAGATACCTTGGGGAAGAGAGAATACCAATCCAATTAGCCTTCTTCCAGAGCAAACAAAGTTGGCACTACTTGCCAGACAAGATTCATAGCCTAAATAAAAGAAAAGGAAATTTGGACTCTGTGTTTCAGTTGGAGATAGAGGAGGTGAGTTAATGGGGTTCTGTTAAGATACAAGAAGGAATGCTTTCTCAGTCTCCCCAGGACGAAATACTCTGCTTATTTTTCTGCCTTACCAAGGGACTTCAGCATTGATCTCTCTATACTTTCTGGCTTTCTTCAAGTCTCAGCTAAAATCCCACCTTCTGAAAGAAGCCTTTCCCAATCTCCCTTAAAACACTACAGCCTTTGTCCCTGAAGTTATCTCCAATTTCTCATGTGTATATCTTGTTCATACATGGCTGTTTGCATATTATCTCCCCTTGTGAGCTCCTTGAGAGCAGGGACTGCTTTTACCTTTGCATACCCAGCCCAGTGCCTGGCATGTAGTAAGCGTTTAATAAGTGCTTACTTACAAGTGCTTAATAAGCATTTATTAAGGGCTTACTGTGTGTGATTGCACTGTGCTGGGCCCTGGAAATACAAACAAAATAGTAAGACTGTCATTTTTCTCAAAGAGTTCACAATTTAATGGGTGAAGTAACACATAGGGGAGGTTTTAGCTTGCCAGTCAGATGGGAAAGTCCCATCTTAGGGTGCAGCAGCAAAGCAGATGGGAATGCCTCTGCTTTGATGTCATTGCCATGGATAAAATAATACCAGTTTCTGGTGTTGAACCATTTGACAGTAACAAGGACTCTGGTAGCAAGAACTTTCTTTTCTGGGTCTTCAGTAACTTTAGCCCCTACAGAAGAAGCTGCCAGGCTGCATACCAACAGGGGTTGTTCCCCAGGAAGATAGCTGTGGACCCCTGGATGGAAGAACTGCTCTTCCCAAGGCTCAGAGTCCTGGACTGTCCTCACCAAGGTGTGAGGGGAGATAGTGGTCAAGTTGTTGGTGATTGTTCTACTTGGCAGGTACAGGTTGCCTCCTGTTTCTCCCTAAAGGAACCTTGCAACTTCAGCAGTATAATGAGAGCCATTATATGAATAAGATCTGATCTTATGTAGAAGATAATATGTGTTATCATATATATTATATAATATATGGAATATAAGATATGTGATGCATATCTTATATAGTTATATATCTTATAAGAATACCGTCATAAGAACAAGATCTGATTTTTATTATAAGAATAACAGCCGATCTCTCTCCAACAACTACTTCACAAAAAATCTAGAAAATGCACCAGTATGAGTCCTGATTGGGAAATCCAAGAAAAAATCATAGTCATTTTTCCAGCCCAGGTCAGCATAGGGAGACAGATAAAGAGGTCTGTGGAGCCAGGGAATAGCCAGAAGTGGTTGGATATTCCAGTGAGGGCTTGAAGGAGGGCCTGCCAGAGGCAGGGCACCAGGGCAAAAACAGATACCAAATCTGGCACATCAGGGCCTGATCTTATGTAGGGAGCAGAAAAAGGTGCCAACTGGCATTTCTGTTGATCACTACCCAGTGCTGGGTCACAGATCTAGGGAGGACTGATGAAGAGACCTGAGCAAACAACAGCGAAAAGAATCCCATCATAAAAGACCACTGTGGTGGCAGTGATGTTCATGATACAATCCCAGAAAAAGAAAACAACTCCAAAATATCTACAAGAAAAGTCTAAAAGAAAAACACTTGGGCACAAGTTCAACTAGAATTTCTGGAAAAGATGAAGCAAGAGTTGAGATAGAACTTTAAAAAATCATTTTAGAAAGAAAGAAATTGAGAATGCTAGAGAAAACAATTGGAAAAGAAATACGGAGTACTAGGGGAAAAAGTAGAAAAGAAATGAAAGCTATAGAAGACAGATTTGAATAGAGATTTTATAGCTCAGCATGAGAGGTGTAAAACACTATTCAAGCAACAGATACCTTGAAAATTAGAGTGGACTAAAAAAAATTAATGACTCCAAGAGGCAATAAGAAATATTGAAACATAGAAGAAAAAAAGGTGAAGAGGAGGAAGAAGAAGAAATTCAAAGTATCAGTAGTCAAATAAAAAATGCTCTAAGTCATAAATAACTAGAATGTGCAAATTAGACCAATTCTGTGGTTACACCTCCCACCTCTCATATTGGCAAAGTTGATTTAAAAAAAAAATAGGAAGGTGACAGCTGTTGGAGTGGTGGGAAAATAGGCACATTTATATATTGTTGGTAGAGCTGCAAAACTGTTCTAGATATTCTGTAAAGCAATTTGGAACTATGCCCCAAAAGTTACCAAACTATGCTTTTCCTTTGACCCTGAGATACTGTTACTAGGTTTATACACCAAAAACATCAAAGAAAGAGGAAACAGACCTATATGTGCAAAAATACTTAAAGCAGCTCTTTTTATGGTGGCAAAAAACTGGAAACTAGAAGGGAGACTATCAGTTAGGGGAAAGGCTAAACAAATTATGTTATTTGAATCTAATTGAGAATCATTGTTCCTTAAGAAATGAGTGACAGTTTCGGAGTAGCCTGAGAAGACTTGTATGAATTGATGCAAAATGAAGTAAGCAGAATTGGAAATACGATTTATACAATAACAACATGGTAAAGATAAGCCACTTTGGAAGCCTTCAGAACTTTGATCAGTGCAATGACCTACAACAATTTTTCCCCTAGGGACTATATTGCTTCATTCCAAAAGTTTGGATAGTTTGTATCCCTTTAATTTTCTTTGAAAAAATTTATTGTTTGTATGATTTGTTCTTTGAACCATATATTTTTTAGAATTAAGTTATTTAGTTTCCATTTGTTAAAATCATTTCCTCAAAGGACCTTTATCATAATTTTTATAGTTTTGTGATCAATAACAGATGTGTTTAATATTTCTGCTTTTCTACATTTGTTTATGAGGTTTTTATGACCTAATACATGGTCAATTTTTGTAAAGATTATGCAAAGCTGAGATACACACCCACACATATAAAATCACCAGTTATGGATCACATATGTTTTCTAAAATCTTATTTATGACCTTAAGTTTTTTGTTAAATTTATCTAGTTCTGAAATAAGCACATTAAAGTCCCCACCTATTATGGGTTTTCTATTTCTCCCTTTGTTTTGATTAATTTGTCCTTCAAGTACTTAGATACTATGCCATTTGATGCATATATATTAAGTATTGGTGTTATTTCATTATCTTTGGTGCCTTTAAACACAATGTAGTTTCCCTGCTTATTTCCTTTAAATATGTTTTTATTGTTGCTTTGAGATTGTGATTGCTACCTTTGCCTTTTTGCATTCACCTAAAGTATAATAAATACTTCTCTACCTCATCATTTTAATTCCTTGACAATATATATGTTTTAAGTGTGTTTCTTGTAAACAATACATCTTTGAATTCTACTTGCTAATCTATGTTGCAACCCTCCTCCATTTTATGGGTAAGCTTATCCCATTCAAATTCATGGTTATGATTGTTAATCATGTATTTCTTTAATTCCATAATATGCCCTTATACTTTTTCTTCCCTTTACCTCTCCCCCGCCTCCACCTCTCTTTTTATAAAAAGAAAGAGGTGAAA